GGCGTCTCCGCAAAGGACTAAACAGAGGGCTTAAGACACACAGAGGATTTTAAAATGCACCCACGAAGAGCACGCAGCCTGGCCCTCTGACGACAGCACTCATCAATATGGGCTGTGGGTATCCGTCCTTGGGAGCTTTCAATAGGGCAAAGGATTACGTACTGATTCCCAGAGTCACAAACAGAAGCGTTTATAGGGCCAGACAGGTGGGGGGTGGGTATAAAGTGCCGGGGAAGGGTGGGGCCTGCAAGAATGAAGCACAGACTCCCCGTGTGAAGGCATTCAGCTTCTGTATTTTTAGGATCTGTGGGTAGACTCTTCTAGTTTACTCTTCTAGTGTATCTCATTCTCTCACTTAACAAGTGCTGACTGAATGTCCACTGGCTCGCTGAAATCCAGGGTTTGGCCTAAAAGCTAGCTTGGGTTCCTTTCCCGTTCTAATGCTCTAAGGAATATTTTATGGTAAAACAGGATGAGTACATGACAACCCCCCCCCACCAAAAAAAAACTTAAGACACAGAAAGAGTGAAATCAAACTCAGGTTAAAAAAAATATAGAGAGAGAGGGAAAAAAACACATGAAGAACCCAAAAAGAAAATAAATCCTTTAAAAATAAAGAGTTTAATTTGCACTAAGCACAACCATATGCAATCTGTAAGTTCTCAGAAGCACGGCTAAAAAGTGCAAGTGTCATAAACTATGATCATTTTGAAAACTACAACCTAACTTTTTATTAGACATTTGACCAAGGAGCATATCTTATGCTATAAGATATATGTCAGGTTATGTAGTTTACTTACATGCTTTTTGCTATACATTTGGGCTTTCATCTAAAATTTCATAAAAATTTTATAAAACTGAAAGTAGTTCCAGTTTCACAACTACTAAGAACAAAGAGAACTGGCAGAGGTGAACACATCTGTCTTCCTCACTCGACTCCACAGCAGGACTACCGAGCGGCAGGCAGTCATCTTCACCCCCTTTGTTTGCTGAGGAAGCCCAGCGTGAGAAGGTAACCGAACTGCCAGGAGGAACACTCTGTGGGCGGGGAACTAAGATCTAGAGCCCTGTGGCCTTGAAAGAAAATGAGGTAAATAAGTATAAAACACATGTTAAAATTAGACAACGGTATTCGGTAATCAAGACGATCTTGATTATTTCAAACAACTGCTTAACTTGAAATAATGTGGAGCAGGCAGTTCTGTATTCTTTTTTTTTCTTTAACATTTTTTATTGATTTATAATCGTTTTACAATGTTGTGTCAATATATTCTTTTTTAAAGTTAAGTTCCATTTATTCAAGTTCTAATAATGGCTTGATATATTGTTCTGTGTTTTGTTAAGTCCTGGCAAAACTTTCAAGAAAGGGCTCATAACATATACATCACTGGTATAAATAACACCACGCGAGGCATATTAACCTCAGGAAATTAAGGGTATTCTTTGTAAACAAGTGACCGCTGGCCATCCTGTACAGACGTTGTCAGAATACTCTGTGTATTTTGAAACAGCCAGACTGCCTTTATTGCGCAATTTTACTGTAATTCACATTTTTGGCCCATTCTGGTTGGTCCTCACTCCAGTTAGGTCAAATCATGGGCATTTTTATTGACTTTTAAAAGAGTCATCCTCCTAACAGCCTGGAAATAATTGCTCTTCTGTCTTGACTGATCCTTTTATTCTTATAAATTCTTTATTTTCTTAATGTCTCACTGTAACTAGAAATTCAGGGCAGAGTTCATCACACAGTGAGCCAGATCCCATTCAAAGGGTCTTGTGCTCTGAGCGCTGGGAGGCCCTCGTCAGGAAACCTCTCACCTGCCGCACAGACTGGACACCACGGGCCTGGTGTCACCACAGCTGTGCTCTGCTGGTAATTCCACTTCAGAAGCCTTGACCGTGTCAGTGACAATGGTTGAATCCTAGCAATTATGTTCTATATTTCTTTCTTAACTCTATTTCTTAACGTAGTGAGTGTATAAATTCTCTAATTGGTGAGAACTGTTTCAACAGCGGCTTAAAACTAATTGATTTTGAAAACTAAAGTTTTACATACCTTAGTTTAAACTGGATCCTTTGAAGATCTATCTATCTCAAGGGCAGCATTTTCTTCCTAGGCATGAAAGGGTTTAAAATATGTAAGATTTTTAATTCTCTTTCCAGTTAATCATTCTCAACCAAGGATTCTCAACCTTTCTGAAGTGATGACCCATTCAAAGGCCATCCAAGTGCAGGCTAACATTTATGTATCACTTTCTATTTTTCAATCCGTTTGCATAATTATGGTCTATGCTTCAAATTCAGAGGGAGCAAAGGGCAAGGGGCACCATCACTTGGAGACTTAAAATGCAACCATTGCAGATGGCCCACCCAGCCAGCCAACCCCCCTTACCCCCAAGCAAAAACGTCTCCCGGGCTGTTTCTTCCCTTCTGCCAAGTGTCAGTGTAATTCTAGCAGTGCAGGTGGGGAAGGAGCCTGGAGCGTCCGTCTCAAGTGTTTGTCAAGGAAGTTAATTTCATTGCACCGTCCTTTTTGCCGGCTTGTCCCCTCAAAGACACTCATCTAGAAAGCAAAGGGGACAATGCCCTCTAGCTTTCTTTTCCTGGAGTTATGTTGATTTACTCAAGAGCTAGCCAGGAATTCAGGGATTTTTAAACTCTAGGATACTTCTAAATAGGCTGAGAATTCCTGGTATAACCAAAAATTATGTAGACTTAAGACCTTCTAAATTTAGTATTTTAGCCAGAAGAATAGAGGATTTAATTTCACTCAAAAATATTTTCTAATGGTTAGTATTTGTAAGAGGCAAAAATCATGATTACAAATATATTTTACTCAGAACTATATAACATGCAAATGATCTACAGAGTTCTCAATCTAAGATAAGAATTTTAGCAAATAAGTTTCTAAAATTACTTGGTTAGGCAATTAAAATTATTCTGCTATATGAAACTCACACAAATAAAATATAACACAAAGACAAATTTTCCTGTTAATACTGGTTCAGTTATGAATGCTTAAATTTCCCAGACTTTGAGAGCTGACCCTTAAACAGTCAGCATCATGCAAGTTTTATCAACTGAGAGTGAGCAGTAGCTTCTTTCTGTTTCTAGTGTCTCCTGCAGATGGCTGTATGCATAAGTACCATGCCACACGTCCAGGGTGAAGGGATCTGACTTAATATTACGCCACATGAACAGGACTATCTGTGGCTTAAAGTAAGACAGTGTGTAAAACGTGGAAAGACTCTGAGGCAGAATCTAAGGGACTAGCAAATTTAGAGCACTGATTTTCTTTTCTATCACTTTTTACCCAGCTTAAAGCGGCGTTTTGCATATGCGAGGGGCAGACTGAGCTATACATTATAAACAGATACAGATACACACGCACATAGACACGTAGATTCAAAGGGATGATGGCGTGACTCAATAACCCATCTGGTTTGTCAGTTTCTAGAACAATACAAAAAAGCAAACTTTTCCAGGATGTTCATACAGTAACTGACATCCTCCCGGGATCTGGATAACCTACTTCTTGTACGGTACAGAGCTGTGCTGCGGGGCACTAATGCCTCACAAAAGCACCATTCAGGCACCGGACCTAAGAGCCAAGCTCTTTCAAAAAGACTAGTGAAAGCAGCTCAGAGCACTTCTGCCAGCTGCGTGACTGCTACATGAACCTGAACTTTAAGAACCTGAGGCATGTAACAAAACAAACACAAATTACTTTGTTATTTTTATCAAAATCTGAATCATCACTATAGTGAATAAAAATTCATGAGTCCAAATAGCATGCAATTTTTTTATTGTTTTCTAGATCTAGTCGTACACTTATTTGTATTGGCAGTAACTTCACAAACAGAATAAAGAATATACTACAATGACACTAAGCCGCATCTACTCACCTGAAAAGGAACAAAACATTGGCCCTGAAATAATTACTAATTACACAATATTGCAAACTAATAAATATTATAAATGCTAAAATGTTAACATTTCAATATATACTGTCAATAATATCTTGCCTTTTTTAATTGGTTAAAACATTTGCTAAACTCATGCAAAATGAACACTTCATGAAAATGTTAGATTACACAAACATCAGTACAATGAAACTCAAAAGAGCGACTTTTTAATGCAACGATCGGTCACATAATAAGCTGTTCAGCTTATTTTAAAAATCCACTAAGTTTAGAAAAACATCGGAAGTGTAACACTAAATCTACATAATCGCTCATCTACGACCTCACCATCTACAATCGTATCTGTAACTGAAGATACACTGCCAAAATTATTCTACACAAGTAAGCTATGTTAGAACGGCAAAAAAAAATGTCAACACATGACGACGGTGCATTTCTCGTCCACACGATACTTTAATGTGATCATTCTCTTAATGCTGCTAACGATACATAAAAAGTCACACCAGATTTATCTTCGTTTTATCCTTGCTTTGTTACATGTTTTAAATTTTTTTTCTGAAAGTATTTCTTACACTCCTCCCCCAGAATTAACATGCTGATTTAAGAATAGATGAAGTAGATAAATTCTGCCTTGGTAGAGAAGCCAATGATTTCATTTTACCTAATTAAATATTTCCTGTCACTTGCTGATTCACTCTTTGATGTGATTATTTCCTCATTCCCCCATTCCATACATATTTTTAGTGCCTATCATTTTCCATGTCTCCCTGATTCTCCAGAGAAAGAATTCATCTTTTTCTTCTCATTGTTAGGCTCACTAAGGAAAGCTGGGCACACAGTTTAAGAGTTACAGAGTAGACCAGGGTGGACCCTCGGGCAAGTGGATGGTGTCTGAAGCCAGGCCTGGGATTTGGGGAGAAGAGCGTCCAGGTCATGGGGTGGGGGTGGTTACTGGCCCTCCCTCCCCTCAGGACACTCTCCTCCTCACTCTCAATGGTCCAGTTACCAGGGCTCTACTTTGGGCACTGCTGACTCACTTTCTTACCAATTTTTAAAGCCCTCTTTAATATTTTCTACTTAAACATTTAAAACTCTTTGATAAGCAGTTTGTCTATTATGTAGAACTCACAGAGCATTAACCTTCAGTCTCTAGGCTACTCCATGACCTATAAATCCTGACCTTTCACTCCTTAAGAGCAAAATGTGCTTCTGGTTCATTTAACATCATGCTTTCCATCAAATGTTAATGCATTAGTGTTCTATAAAAGGAATCACTAGCTTTTCGTTTTGCTGGCAAATTAAGTCCTTTTATACTTAATATTTCCGACCTATCTTTATACTCCCATCTTGTCTGGGATTATCTGCCAGTGAAAGGTATGATGACAACGGTGGGGTTTAAGGCGCTCACTACAAAGACAACAGAGGCTGACGCGGGAACCCTCTCTCGGACAGCACACGGGAAGGCCTTCTCGCGCACTAACCGCGTGCTAGTGAAATGTACAGAGATGACGTGCGTGGACGGGTTCACGCCAGGACTCAAGTCAACTGTGCCACGGGGGTATAATAATCCTACACTACTTCTGCTTGTTTTTCTTAAAGAATGCTTTCTCTTTCTTCTCCAAAGCCTGAACTATCAGGAGAGGCCACTGCATGGAGCTCTGAAGAATCTTTTGAGAGCCTTGTGTAACTGGAACGCTGGCTTCGCTTATGTGTCATACTTTTCAGATTCTCATTCTGAATAGCAGTTGAGTGGGAGCTGGAACCAGACCTCAGGATGGCTTGGGAAGCCTCCCTAATCCCCTCCATTTCATCAAAGTGCTGGCTGGCTCTGCCGGCCGGAGCGCTGTTGTTGTTGAGGGTCACGGTGCTGGGTGTGCGGTTGAGGTTGTAGGCCTTCTGGCAGGCGGGCCAGCTGTCCTCCGGGCTGCTAGCTATCAAGCTGCACTCGGAAGGGCTCTTCTTGTCTTCGGAACAAATGGACATGCGAGCCACAGCGGGGTCCTGCAGGCCGCTCAGGCTGCGCGGCAGCCCCCGCTTCCCGCCGTGGCTGTCATCTTCCAGCTCGATGAGGTTGGCCTTCTCAAGCCGGGAGTCGTCGGCCGCCTCGTTGTGGAGAGAGTGGTTGGGGGAGCTCTCGCTGGACCGCACTCCGGAGTCAGACGAGTCCTTTTTGTCCAGGAGGGCGTCCGACAGGTACTCTTTGGCCTTGATGAAGGTTCTGATGGGCTCTGCGCCGTGTTCTGGAGACTTCGGCGCTCTCTCGACTTTCCCCTCGGCCTTTCTGTCCTTGTCGTCCTTGAGCAGCGGAGTGTTGTCGGATTCTTCTGTCCCAGATTCATCCTCATCACTTGGGAGTTTCTGATAGCGCAGCCCACTGCCCTTCAGCTTCAGATCTGTCTGGAAGAGACTCGACCTTTCTGAGGACTTCTTGCCTGGGAGCAGCTTACTGCCTGACTGATCTGACTTTTCGTCTTCTTCAGTGATGGGATCCAGGGGCGAGGCATCGTTAGTGGAAACGCCTGATGAGGAATAGTCTATAACGTCTCCCCTCTTCATGAAAAAGGGCTTCCTTCCATCATCTTGCTTTGGCTCACTATCTTTCCCTTTCTCTGGTTCTAGGTTCGAGTGAATGGAGCCCCCTGACGAACTCTGACCCATATAGTACGTGCTGTGCGGAGAAGACCTGCCACTGACTGTGGAGCCTGGGCCCCCTTCTAACTGGGACATCTGAGCAATGTACTCTCTATAGGCATCTCTATACTCGGCCTGCACCTTATCAGTAAGCTTTGAAATTTCAATACTGGAATCCTGGGAATTGAGACTCGAAAGACTTGGGGTTCTGCGGGTTTGCGACTGTAAAGACAAGAAAATAATAATCATTTAAGAATTCAAATAAACCAAAAAAGGCATGATAAACATTAGCTTAGGAAATATATATATGTACAGTAAGAATTTTTAGACCTTAAAATATCAAAATCTTTTAAAAGAATTTTGCATATCAGTTTAATGAAAGCTCTGAATTTATGAATAATTTTACTGTTATTAGAAAGCATTATACAAATTTTAATACAATTAGTTTATTGTTAATATTTTAAAGTATAATTAAGTTTATATTAAATAACCTTGGGACTTGTTTTCGAAACTTCAAACTTTATTTATTTAAGGCAATTTATTTAAGGCAAAAGTCACCTCATTGATAAAATATAAAAAATTCCTCTTAGAAAAGAGAAAGATGAGAGTTAAGATATATTTCAAAAATAAAATACTCGGAGGGAGGGTAGAGCTCAGTGGTAGAGCGCATGCTTAGCATGCATGAGGTCCTGGGTTCAATCCCCAGTGCCTCCACTGGGGGGGAAAAACTCAAGTCTTCAGTGTATGTTAAAAAGCATCTCTCTCAACTTGTACAACATGATGTTTCTGTCAAATTTCAATTCAGAGAAAATATACTCAAAATACAAAAAAAAAAAGAATTTAAAAGGAAAAGTATAGAGTGCAATGGAAAAGACAAAAAGATAAATACAGGATCCAAGTGAACAGAAATGGAAGCCAGGAGGCCAACAGCCAGGTCCAAGTAAACAGAGAAAGAAAATATTTTTAAATATTTGATTTCCAGTGTGATGATTTAGGATTAGAATTGCTTCAGATCTCAGAAAAGCTAATAAATGAGGAGTGAAAAGTAAAGACTGGGAAAAAGAGGAAGGAAATTGAACAAAAAGAATCAAGGAAGTTTAAGAAGGGATAAAAGCAAAGTTTGAAACAAAGCAGAAATAAGGCAGAGTCTTCCTTCCACAGGGAGAAAATGACCCACCTCCTTGAGAAGGTTCCCTGAGACCTAATTCAGCCTGCAAAGACAGTGACACCCTTGCGCTCAAATGCAGTACGTGTGTCCCTTCTCGGGGGATCCACAAGGTCTAACCTATTTTCGTAAGAATATGAAGATGTCCTTTGCCTCGTCACGCTCATTCTCACAGTGGAGTTCCCAGGGCCTCCACCATGTGGGATATCCCCAGAGATTTCATGCAGAAGCAGACATGGGTATCTAGCTGTCTTCTGTTAAGCCAGGCATTAAAGAGAGTTGCAAAGCAGTATCATTTTCAGGAAATATGTTTTGTTTTGGAAAATACTATCATTTTTCCTTAAGATGTTATTTATGTTAACATGGAACTGGTTTGCTTTAACGTAAATTAGTAAGTATTTTTTAAAGTTTCTCACTTTTATTTCTAATACAGTAACTACTGACAGAGAAAACATATAAACAGAAGCTCTTTGGGGTCTTCAATAATTTTTAAGAGCGTAAAAGGATTCTGAGGTTTAAAAAAATATTTGAGAACCGCTGCACTGACAGGAAGGCTGTGAGGGTTTCCAGGTCACGGTGGTAAATACCAAGCATGGAAAAGCAGGGGATGAGAATTTCTTTAAAAATGTTAAAAGGAATTCCGGGGAAAAGAAAGGAATTACAGTTGCTGAAATAGGCAGATACAAGGGTCGAGTGTGGACTTACTGTAAAATGAAGACATTGTTATCTTAGTTATTAACACACAATAATAAAATGGCTTCCCAACTTACAGAAATAAGGTAGACAGTATGTAGAAGAAAAAGACGTTAACAACCAAAAAATACTTTTACCACCAAACCAAACCAGACGCCCTTAAAACTGGTAGACCTCACAGGTACTGCTTGCTTTTCCCGAGTGCGGCTCCTTTTAGTAGAGCGTTCTCTATTTACTATGTTTCCTCCCTGGCTTGTCTTCTCTTTTTCGTACCCTGCCCTGGTTTTTCCCTAGTTTACTCTCCCTCTCACCCTCCCCTTACTCCTCGTGTTCTCTGACTTTCGTGCTTATTCCTGACCCTCGCCTGTCCTGCCTCCTCTCAGAACGTACAAAGAAAGAACCCACCCGTCTCTAACAGCAGGTAATAACAAGAACGTGAATACCTGTGAACAGTGTGGATACGAACTGGAAACACGAGAGAGGGCGCTCACAGGGGTAACACGTGGCAAGTTTCGCAACAAAGATGCATTT